CCCCCTCCAGTTTTTTTAGGTAGTATTGATTATATTCTTTTTTGGGTTATTGGGGAGTAGATTTTATTGTCATATATGTTGGTTAATTTGGACTTTTGTTGATACTGTTAAAAGATTTGATTTTTATGGTGTACTTATTATGCCTTAGGACAGTACTATAGGCTATTGGTCTGTTTTCATTTCATATCATGCTGAAATTTTATGTTTCAACAACTGTTGGATCCATATTTTGAACTTGGTGTGTTTAATCTTTGAGTTCTCACTATTAAACCCGTTGCACTTTCGTAATTATGTGGTCAAAATTTAGTATTTGTTGATATTTTAGTAATTAAATACTGGGTTTAGTTGAACGTCGTAAACTAGGCTGCATCCACCTCTTTGTGTGTATGTGTGTGTGTGTTTTTACAACTGTCTTCTGTTAGATGGTCAAATTATGAAAAATTGGTGTTTTATGTTTTTTAATTTGGATTTCCAAAAAAATCCTTTCATTTGGTGAAGTATGAAACTGGCTGGATAAATTAGTAGATTGACTTTTGTAACTTTTACATCTGAGCTACAGTGAACCTAAATTTCATATACATGTTTCTTCTGAAAAATCAATTTCAAGATGTGTTTCGTATGGTCAGCGGCGGAGCCACCTTATCCAAAGGTGACACCCCTTCGTCCAGAAAATTATACGGTGTAGCTCTTATATATTACTATAGGTTGACTCGCCCTGACTTCTTTGTGGTTTTACTTCTTTATATTTTGACACTCCTTTTTAAACCTGGTTCAGCCACTGCGTACGGTCCTTCATAGAATCGTTTCATTTGCTGACATACGTAGTGAATGATTTAGAGTTTGCATTAGCATTGAATTTGTGGTTCCGTTTAATAATCATGTTGTACAGTCCTGATGTATATCTTCCTAAACAGAGAATTTGCACTGAAATTCACTTCTATTGCCATATCTAAGCTCATTGTTGCTTGCATAGGAATTATTTCTTCACCTTATAATTATTTTCTTTCCTTTTCTGCAGCTGGAAAGTATTTCGGAAGACACAACTATTGTGGATCGGAAACAGATACTCTTTAATAACTTCCTCCCGACCCTTAGGTCTGGAGATTGGTCCGATATTGGAGGTCGCATTGACATGGAAGACACTCACATCTGTATTGCGGACCTAGCTAAGAATTTTGGCCATAATATACTTGGTGAGGAAGCTATTTCTTTTTATGGAGTAAGTTCTTTAACCTCATTGGACATCACATGTATCGTTCTTGACTATACTCAATTTACTTGTAGACCGAATTTAACTCTCAGTGAAGTTTAGTATAGCTCTTTCTCAGTAAACATGGGAAGTATGCCGACATGTGTAGGAGCCATCTATTTTATAGGGCAAGCCTAGACGATTTCTGTAGATCTTGAAGTTTAGTATAGCTCTTCTCACTTTTACTGCTTCCTCCAACCAAAGGGAGAGAGTCTTCTGTGCAAGACTAAAAAATGAAATAGATGTGCAGTAGCAAAGCTGGATATTTCCGAATTTAAAATGTTTCAATGTGAATTTGGTATCATCTCCATTTTTTCTGGAATCATGTGATACAGGCTAAAGAAAGAAGAGTAAAATAGAATAACACTAGAGAGTGGACACAAACTAGAGAAGTGCTCTGATCGTCAGAGTTGTGAGATGCGCACATCTCTTCAGCATATAGGTGCTTCCTTCATGCTTTTGCAAAACAGGAGAACAGCCATAGCTGCTTGTCAAAGTAAAGTATGAAAAGCATAGGTGACAGCTTATGTTTAGAGCTCTCCAAACTAGTTGTATATCAGATAATAACATTACAAGGAACCACAAAAGAACTGAAGAGACCTCCTCTCTCCAAAGTTGAAGCATAATACTACCCTTAAAATTTTGGGAGTCTTGTAAATGTACCTATTGAACAGCAGTAGGTATAGCAGCACTAATTCAACTACTTCTATCTGAAATGCGTATCTTACTTCCTACTTAGGACCATGCCTATGAAGAGGATTTTTTTTTCTGTTTTGGTTTGGGGAGGGGGAGCAGAGTGAGAGAGGGAAAGAGTTTAAAAGCCATGTTGTCTATACTTGGGAGTTTCTTCTATTTGATATTCTTATATCTTAGATGTCTAATGCGAACAGTTCTAATGACAGGTCTTTGATGGACATGGTGGGAAGGGAGCATCACAATTTGTTCGTGACTACTTACCAAGGATCATTGTTGAAGATGCTGATTTTCCATTGGAACTTGAGAAAGTGGTCACAAGATCTTTCGTAGAGACAGATGCTGCCTTTGCCAAGTCATGCTCTCTTGATTCAGCCTTGTCGTCAGGCACTACTGTACTCACCGCAATGATATTTGGAAGGTTATTTATTCCTGTGCTTAATCCCTTTTCTCTTGTTTTTTTTTTCTTTCCATTCACTATCTTCTTTTTATGTGTTAGATTTATGTCAATTGGGAAATGACAGAGGTTTTTGTTATTCGCTTATTCCCAGCTAAGTA